TCAAGAGCGGGGCCGCATTAACTAACGTAACGGCTACGCTTAATAGATTATAATTAACTAATTAATTAATTAATTTATTTATATAGGCAGTACAACTAATCGTAAAAATCCCTAGCTTGCTTCATCGTTTTTAACCAATTCTGACTAGCAAACGTAACTCGACGAGCTCGTTCGCCGAATGCCGCTGTTACCGCACCACGCTCGCTTTCTTTCTTCTCTAGTCATCCCTGTCGTCGTTGTCATCATCTTCCTTACCGATTATTCGTTTATTTTCTCATTATAAATAGGAACTCTCTCTCTCTCTCTCTTTCAGCGCGGCCAAAGACAATAATCTCACCGTGGCGATCGGTAACGATATCTCGCGATTCGGCGAACGAAAACGTTGCGAAAAGAGACGATTGAAAAGTACAAAGGGACGTGGATGAAACGAAATTTCCGCGCGAGCGCGCCTCAAACCCTCGCGATTCGAACGAGTTCGATTTCGCCGCGACAATCGTCGAGTGTACGCGCGAAGTGAGATCGAAATTAGTCCCCGTACTCTTCGTCTTCTAAACGAGGAAAATGCACTGGTATACGTAAAAAAAGGAAGGGGGAGGGCAAGGAGGGACGTATAATTTGAATAACTCGCGCTCGCGATACGCGAAAAAAAAAGGAAGAGAAATAAAAGGAAAGATCAAGAAAGCGAGAGTCGAACTCGATACACTTAACGTAAAGGAAAACGAAGGAAAATGCGTATAAAGCTCAATTAACGACAAGTCGCGTCCGTCATCTCCGTCTTTCTCAGTCGTGCGATACCACGCGTATAACGTAAAAGAACAATGAATAAGAAAAAAAAAAGAAAACAAACATAATGCAAAACCAATCTCGCGCGATCGTTAACAACAATAAAATTTCGACGCCGCGATTATGCAATAATAATAATAATAGCACTAATAATATTAATATTAAAGGAAAGAACTCTCGAGTTTTTTTTTTATAACGCGGTATCGTGTTCCTTTTTCTACCTTCGTACATAAATATTTGTATGCTAAGTAACGTATATAACAATTAACCAGTGTAATTATAGTGTATGTACGCGCGTGTCTCGTGTAATGTACGTGTATATAATTAGAAAAAAAAGGATCCAAGAAAAAGAAAGAAAGGAGAATCTCGAAACGTGGCTTCTCTCTCTTTCCTTACTACCGCTTCTCGTCGATTCACTTAAGAGTTACTATACGTTTATAGTATATATTATGGCTTCGACGATTCGAGCGAACTTTGAACCGAGGCTTTACTTCCCATAGATTTTTCTCTCTCTCTCTCCCCTCCCTCTCGTTTCTCTGTAAAATACGCCTTCAATTGCCCTCTGGCAATCATCGTGTAATAATAATAATAATAATAATAATAATAATAATTAATAATTAATAATATAATATAATAATATGCTTGTAGGTTAACCGCGGTATCGAAAGGCTGGGGCTCGCTCGACGGGCGCTCTCGACGTTCTCTCCTCGCCTTGATCCTCGCTCGAGGGGGCTCCTCGAAGAGTACACGAATGGACACCTCGAGTTTTCGCCTCGAGCACGAACGATAACGCGAGATCCCGTCGCGCTGCCCCGCCGGAAAAGCGTGTGGGTGAATAGGCATTTATGCAAAACGAAAAACTCGATGGAACAACAACAATCGAAGCTTCATGAAAGATCCATTCGCACCGTACATCCATCTTTTTTGCTTTTTGAAAGTGTCGTTTTTGCTTATACAAGGATCGGCCCGGATCCAGGCCGGCGGTTTGACACAACGAAAAGAGGCTACGTTTTGTCAGCAACGCGGATATTTCCTCGTGTACGGTCCCGCCACCCCGCCGATTCCACAGGTTGCGTTCCCAGCACCATATCGCTTCTTTTTGTTCTCCCACATAATTTCTTTTCTTCTTTTCATAATATTTGCCGATTTTCTTCGATCTTTCCTCATTATCTTCTTCCATAGATTCCATAGCGCCGAGTGGAACGCGCGCTCGTGCAATCCCGTGGAAAATTTCTCTCTCTCTCTCTCTCTCTCTCTCTCTCTCTCCCGAGCCTCCTTTTTCCATCCTTTCCTCCTTCCTTCTCTTCTTCCCTCCCTTCCTCCTTCCCTCCTTTTCACTCTCGCTCTCTCCTTCTCTCCTCCTTTCCTTCTCCTCGCATTAAATAAGTACCGATTTCGCCAGTCCGAGTTGACACTCGTCTCGGCTTTGTACCCTCTTTTGACTAGAATTGAATTTCGAACGGAGGACCGTTTCTTCTCCACATCGCCGCGATATGTCTGTTCGGAGGCTCGAGATTTAGTTCCTCTCCTTTTCCGTATTCTATCTCTTTTCCCATCGAACGATGCTGGCCGGCGGGACCGGAAGTGCGTCGGTGTGTTTGCCCAAAAGGGGACTTCGACCAAACTCATTCGATACCATTAAACCTGCACGCGCAACCTCGTCGCGCTCTTTGGTCCGAAAATAGTGCGGATGACTCGTGCACTCTGTCTTTTTCCACTTTCCTTTCTCCATTACTTCCATTTCTTCATTTCGTTTTGTTTAAATCGTCTTCGTCGCGACGAGATTACGCGTCGAAAATTAACGATAATCTGCGCTGTATTACTCGGTAACTAACTGTACGTAAAAGTCTGAAATCTGAAACTTAACGTTCGCCATTTTCGGAGTCGAGGTCAAGCGCGCTCCGTTCCGTTCCGCCGCGCAAGGACGCGCTGTTAAGGCCGCGAATGTTACGATCGAAAGGTCAATTTAGCATTTTACAAATGATCGGAATTTTCGCGCGACGTACGTTCGCAAAATGGAATTTCCAATTCCGGAGATCCCCGGTGAGGATCAATCTGCTCGAGATTTTCTTTTCGTTCGAAATGAAAAGGATTTCGCCGAACATCCTTGTCGAATTTCGCCCGAGAAGGAACGGTGCGCGTTTGCCGCTGGACTCGCAACTAAGTTCATCGCGAACGGACGTTAAACAACGTTTGTATATGGGGGCGGGGGGTGAGTGGAGGGTGGATGGGGCGCTGGGTGAAAGGGAATGTATTATTCCTGCGGGAGCGTGATGAGGTGGATTGGTTCGCCGGTGGGGATGGGTGGTGGGGTATTTTGTATTGTGTAGAAAACAACACCGTAAGTGAAGTAACTCAAGGCTGCACTTGAAAGACCAATAAAGTAACGGGGTGCGGGACACCTGAACACGCGCCGCCCGAACATGCTCCCTCTCCTTCTCTCGTTTTCTTCTTCTCGCCGAGCTCGGAGAACTCGATCCGTTAAAGCGAAGTTCAGCTGAAGAGGAACAGCCAGAACCAATCCGACGGCGGATAAGCTGCCCTCGCGAGAACGGCCCTCCAACATCGGACAGCTCTTTCGTTCTCTGCTCTTGTTCTCTCTCTTTCTCTCTCTCTCTCTCTCTCTCTCTCTGTTCCCACCTTACGTTGCGGACAATCTCGACCCGGAGTCCGGACTCGCGTGTTCAGGTACCCTCCGATCCGTGTCCGAATTCCAAAGTCCCTGCCTGCGGTTTCCGTAGTGAGTGCCTCCGCGATTATTTATTGAATAGAGGCGGTGCGCGCGGTAAGCGCGCGCTATCCGCTGGCCCTTACTTATACTGGAGTACGTGTAATTAATAATTATGCGTGTGTATGCGGTACGGTTAACTGTTAATTAAGTCATCTTGAATGGTTACTGTTAATTAATTAATCGTTATCAGTTAGTTAAATATGACTCCACCGTGCAATCGTCTATCTCTCTTTCTCCTTTCCCTTCTCTCAGCCTTATCCTGCCCTATCTCTCTCGCTATCTATTCGTTCCGTTTCGCGCCGTCTTCTTCGTCACCCTCACAAGCTCGCTGCCTCGCTCCTATCTCAGAGTACACAACGTACACGTTGGCTAAACTACAGACACTTAGTACACTTATTATCATATTTATTCGTTAAATGTCGATTGAATCGCGGGACGGGGAGAGGGGCGGTTGCGAACGACCGGTCTGATTGTGGTGTGTGGTATTGAGGAATTTCTTCTCTTTTCGAAAATTTTGAATCGTAGGATGTGCGTTTTTCTCTTTCCCCTTTCTCTCCCGATAATTCGTTCGAATCTTTTCTGCCTTCCGATCGCTCGCGGTCGAAAAAATGGGGAAATTCGCCGGGCTGGGAGAAACCTTTGTACCCAAACGACGGGATCCGATCGTGTGGAACGCGGGGGAGGTCCGGTTAGGAATTTGCGCGCGAAATGAACCCGGTATACTTCCGGTCGTGCCACTACGGCGTCGTGGCATACGACGAGATTCTCTGCAGACACTGAAAAAGACCACGTGCTTCCCGTATACTTACTTATTTAACTGTTTATTGCGGTACACTGTGATTACTGTTCTACCATAGCACTACTAATTGTGAGTTATACTTGAGAACTGTTTGTTTACTGTAACGGAAAACCCTGACGAAGGCACCCACTCAGCGGACAATATTCTGTTTCATTGCTCGTTCTCTGCGTCTCTCTCTCTCTATCTCTGTCTTTTCTGACGTCCCGTCTATATATTTTTCTTCGATTTTTCTTTTTTTGATCTGCCGATTCGCGATTGCTTCCGAGTACACCACGTGTGTTCGTCTGTCTTTTCCTCGCGATTTCTCTCGGTTTTCGCCGGCTCGGATTTTTGGCTTCGATTTGTCTCACAATTTCGATTAACGATAAACGGACTCGGCCTGTCGCCTCGGACACGCATGCGGGGGGTTGCTTGAAGGTTCAGGGTGAAAGAAACACATTCTCCTGAACGGAAGTATGAAGAATATTTTGAAAAGAGTATCGCCTCGCCACGGAGACCGCGCGCGATACGAACAGCACGACCGCGCGTCGAGTCCGCGCGATCTGTCCGTGACGAGACAGCGCGATGGGTCCGTACGCTCGTCGCCGTCGACCGTTATATTAAGTTGTCGGTGTAGATCACTTTGGGATCATGGCAGTCGCTACTTCTTCACGACTTCGATCGATCATAAGGTTTAGAGTCTCTGGATTATCTCGATATCCGATGTTTTCCCGTTCTCATGGTGGTTCTCTCGTCTCTCGTCTCTTTCACCTACCCGCCCGATAGCCGAGATTAAGCTCCGCGCCTCGATCGCACCCCCTTGCTGGACGCTGAACGCGTGATCGTCCGAGATCGCTCGTCTCGTCGAGAACGAGAGAGAGCGATCGTAGAATCGCGAGTTCGACTCGTCGCGAGAGAATGCGACGAGAATGCGGAGTGTGCGAAGCGCAAAATTTGGTTTCCCCGAGTGTAGACGTTTAGATTGGCCAATTCCGGTTATCGGATCGTCTCGGCTACCCTCGATCGTGTTTCGATCTGCCAGGAACTTCTCGTAATTTGGTCAAGCATGCCGGACGTTAGCTCTCGCGGTCGTTGAAGTCTCCGTCTCTCGCGTGTGTTTTACCCCGTGACTCGCCGCCGTTCTCTCTCTCGAAGTTCCTCTCGGGCCAAGGACGAACGCGTGTGCGCCGAGGACGCCGAACGCCGGAACCCACCGCCTTAACAACTATGGCTCTTCATTTTATATAGTGGACATTGAAACAACTTATTCCGGTTTTTAATCACGGAGGCTCGGTCAGGGTCACCGCGTGAAAACGCGAATGCCGCCGAGGCGCTCGCACTGCTAGACTGTCGGTTTTATCATATGCTGCGCACTTACGATACACACTGCCACGAATAATATGCACGTACGTCGTACGTGTGTTGCCCCCGATTGCCGCGCAATCACATCGATCCGCTGCGCTGCAACTTTTTTCACCGTTGCCGCCGCCGCCGTCTACAGAGAGCCGGCGCCGGCGCGGCGGGTAGGCGCGCGCGCGCTCGATCGTACGCGATATATATTCGTCGTGAGATTATTTCATTAAAAAATTAAAACCCGATCGAAAACAAACCAACGGTTTTTGCTTGTAAAGCCGCACTCGAACAACGGCCCTTATGCAATTGCCGCTGCCACATTCCTCTTGGTTGTGTGTGTTTCTTCTTGGTCATCGTTACACCTTTCGTGATTGCATCTTGTGGAACAGGGGTCTCCCGGGTGGCCTCAGGTGCCTTCTTTCCTCTCCCTCTCTCTCTCTCTCTCTCTCTCTCTCTCTCTCTCTCTCTCTCTCTCTCTCTTTCACTCTCGCTCTCGCTCTCGCTCTCGCTCTCGCTCTCATCTCCTCTTCCTTTTCCCTCTCTCCAAGGGTTTTAAACCTCACATCTCTCGTACTCCGCTTCTTCTCCTTCCCTCTCTCTCTCTCTCCCTATTTCTCACTCTTCTCTTCTCGCGCTCTCTCGCACTCTCTCGCCGACGAGAGTATCTGGCACCTCGCCACCTGTCCATCGTCAGGACGTACCCCGACGAAGAGGCCGCCCACACGTCACTTCCGGGTACTCTCGTGTCAAGTCCGGGACGCGTTTCGGGCGCACGCCCCCGCGCGCGTTTCCGCACGCGGGCGCGCACGCGCACTATATTCATCATCGGTTCTGCATCCAAACGTATGCCAAAGGCCGCGAAATTTTGTTTGCGTTCATATTTACGTAACATTATGAGCACAAACGCGTGTGCTTTCATCCCGATACTTTTGTTTCCTCGTGTCATTCTCGAATTTCTTCTCTCTTTCTCACTTTCTCTCTCTCTCTCTCTCTCTCTCTCTCTCTCTCTTTGTTTTTTTTTCTCAAATTACCGTGAAATCGATCAACGTATTGTTCCTCATACTTTTCTTTTTGTTTCTCTTTTCAACGACGCCCGAGACGACGCGTCTTCGCCCGGGGGGGGTGAGCGTCCTGTTCCCACGACCTGTTCCCAGGCCACGGAGGACTTCGCCCGAGCGAATCGGCGTCGTCTGCGCGACGCGCGCGAAAATATACATTGTTACGGGGCCGAATCGTTGCTTTTGAAAAATCCTTTTTTGGACAATTTACAAAATCAATTGGCTTTACATATCCGTAGCGTGTGTAATTGAGTGTAGACAAGTGTGCTTCTTAGTGTGCTCAAGAGTGTAAATTATGTTCTCGTGTGCGATCGTGTAGTCTTGTGTATATACGTGTGAGCACGCACGCACGCGTGCTCGTGTATTGAGAAGTGTTTGAGCGCGCGGGGTTGCACGCTCGTGAACCAGGGCTAACTTCGACTTGTTCATTGTGTCTCGTCGTCGCGTGGACGCGACACACTCCGGTGGCGCGAGAGCTTGACGTGTCGCACGCCACGGCGGGGTGCGCGCGGCCATCCGTCATCTGTGGGGTGTCTTGTTGTCTTGTAATTAGTGTGCGCGACTGTTCTGTGGGTTTCTGTCACTGTTGTTTGCACTGTGTTTGCTCCTTGGCGAGAATACCAATTCTACCGCGGTCGCGCGCGCTCTTTTCATCGCGCGCGCGCGGCTCCGCGGATTTTACGTTTGATTCGTGAGGGTCGAGTCGTATTTGTGAGTGTGTATGCGCTGGGAGTATGCACCAGCGCATCCGGGCTATGGCACTTTTTAGATTATTTAAACATTTAGCAAATTTACATGAAAGAGATTAAGATTATGGGTAGGGCCGATTTTGCAGGCGACGTCGCGCCGTGGATTTTCCGCGGACATATATCGTGTATATACATGCCGTGTCGCGTATATATACGTATACTCGCGTATCGTCCCATCGTTTCCTGGGCCTCTCCTCGACTAAGTCTCTTCTTAGTCGCGCTCCTCCACGAGTGGGCTAACGGCCGGGCGCTGGAGTGTCTCCGGGTCGTCCGTGACGCCTCTCTCGGGGCTCCTCTCTATGGACTCTCCCGTTATTAGGCGCGTTTCTCAACCTCTCCGCGGTCTCTGTGTGTCTCTCTCTCTCTCTCTCTCTCTCTCTCTCTCTGTGTGTCTGTCTTCGTCGCTGCTTCTTCTTTATCATCTCTTCTTCATCGTCTTCATCCTCGTGCTTGTGTTTGCGCGGCACGCTGCCTCTCTCTCTCTCTCTCTCTCTTCCTTTGTTGCGCGACGAATACGGACGACCCAGACGCTCGCGCGGATCTCTCTCTGCGGATCACCTCACGCTGTGTTTCCACGCTGTGTTTCGCGCGTTCCTCCGCGCTTCCGCTTTCGGCCGCGAGTCGCTTCATTGCACCGCGGCTCGCGGACGCCGTGTTAGTGCGTCCTGCGTTTGTTTACTCGCGCTCGTCCCGCCGTTTCCTCTCTCATTGTGTAGTCGTAAAGGCCCGAAAATCTCACGCGGGCGGACGCGATTGCGCCACCGGCCCCCTTACGAGTTACGGGCATATGTAAATCAATATATTTGTAAATTATTTTTTTTGTGCTTTTTCCGCGGTGCGACCCGCATTTTTTTATTATTTTTTCTTTATCTTTATCCTCGCTTACTTCTCAGTTGATTACAGAACATACACTACTAGATCTATTGTTTAACGCGCTTGTGTGTTTTTTTTTTGTTTCGTTACCTTTCGTTTAAATTTAAAATTATGGTACACGTTCGCGGGGCACGGGCCGGCGCCTCGGGAATTCTTCCTTTTCGCGCGGGGATGTGTGTCTTTAAATCGCGATCGGAGGGTGCGCGGGTCCCGAGGGACCCGACCCGCCGATCGCGGCCATTACGCAGGTTTACTCGTTTAGAAAAGCAACCCTCGGCGCACGGCAGGATGCACCGGTCGAAAACAGTCGTCTGTCAATCGTTTCATGACCGCGATCATCATGAAGGATCTCGACGTGGTAGTAGTGGTGGTGGTGTTTTGTATTGTTGTTGTTGTTTTTATTAAAAATTTTTTTGTGATAGTGATAGTGAGATGGTGATAAATAGTAACGCTGATGTTCGTCTCTCTTTCCATCCTTTCCGTGTTTCTTTTTCGCTCTTTCGCGCTCTTACTACCCGTTCTCGTGCACCGTTCTCGGTACCTCTCGACGCTGCTGTTGTATCACAGGGACCGTGAAATGAAGTTGCACCTTTTGAAAAATTCCTACTCGACTCTGCTCTATCTCTTCGCCAACGTGAATTTTTTCGTTAATTCGCGTTTCATTCGTGCGACACGTGCTAATAGCTTCGCCTAACTAAGCTCTTCTCTCATTCGCTCCGACATTCATTCCCGGACTCACTGTTATTGACTGACTCTCTCACTGTCTCTCTCTCTCTCTATATCTCTCTCTTTCTCTCTCTCTCTCTCTCTCTCTCACGCTCTGTCACTTTCACTCTCAATTTCGTGCAGCACGTTCGCACTTTTCGCAGAGAAGCGCTCGAAATTCACGTCACGTTAATTTACCCGCGACGCGTATGCGCTCTAGCGATTTCTCTTTGCCTCGTTTTTATTCTCCGAAAAGGAAAACGCGATTATCTTGTGAGAAGAAATCTCGCGAGAAACAAGTCGATCCCGAACGGTGTTGCGGGCGCCGATTGGTACGAGTGTGCCAAGATTGCGTTTAGGTATTGCGTGTGTTCCTATCGTAGCTGTACAATCCATCGCAATGCCGTGTGTGTTGTGATGAGTGTGTCTGCGTATAAGTGTGTATCAGTGTGTCGGAGTATCGGTGTCGAGAAAAAAAAAAGAATTTCCCGATCGGTCATGTCCGAGAGACGATGAACGCTCCTGCGCGACCCCTCCCTCGTCGGGCTGTGAAATCCGGCCCTCTGGCGAGGGCGGAGAACGAGGTCGGGGGGCGGAAGCGATCGCCGATCGTCAGGCATGCACCGACAACGAACAGAAGCTCTGGTTCGATAAGAAACGATTATCGTTGGTTGCGTGAACGAGGTGTATGCACTCGCCCAGCTTTAGGTATTTACATAGAAACTAACCCTATTTCGCATTATGTACGTTCGTTTAAGTTTACCAGTAAATTCTCAGTTTATGCTTGTGATATCAAGGTGTATTTACATACTACTTAATCCGAGGAAAAAACGCCCTGTAACGCAAAAACTTCTTTAATAAGAACGATCAATGAATCGACCCGCGATCACGATCCCCGGAACTCGAGGCGGTCCCCGCGCGCGCGCGCGCGCGCGCGATGTCTTTCCTCCGCGAACGGAAGGCAAATATGCCGAGAAGATCGTAGGGTTCTCTCCGACTCGAGTCGAATTTTTTCAATTTGATTTCGCGAACGACCGATTCTGATTTGAGACACTCGCTCGTTAGACTCTTGTTTCTCGTCTCCTTTGTTTTTCTTCTCTTGAGAGAACCGCTTTCGCAAGAAAATTTACCGGGGACGGATCCGTCGAGTTCCGATCGCGAGGCGAGTGCGACCGTTAAATGTAGCTTTGACGATGAATCCTTTAGCGATCTTTTCTCTTCTCTCGTCCCAGATGGTCAAAAAGCCTGGCTACCCGGCGGCTTCTTGGCGCGTGTCTTTTACGTTCAACGAAGATGACGACGTTAGGTTACTTTCGTAATTGGCGAACAAAGGGCCGTGAAAGAGGGAAGGGGTGGTCATATCGCGAAAGGGAATAGACAATTCGTGTGTTCTTTCTCTTTTGCGATAATTTCTTTTTTCCAGAGTTCATTTCGTCCGGAAGACACGATTACCGAAACGTAGCGAGAGAAAAAATTTTATCGATCGTATTTCGTAGGTGTGTCTCGTATTTCACGAGTGTGACGAAATTTTGCAAAGTCTCGATTGTGCGGAAATAAGGTGATGGTATGAAAGGGTGGCTCGGGGGGTGGAAAGTAAGGATCGAAGGGTGGCCGGAGTATCTCAAAAACGAGCCGGTCAGGAACGAAAAGTCTCGTCTCGAGGAAAGTCTCCGAAAGGAAACAACAACACCAACAACAACAACAGTAACGCGGTCGATATTAACGTCCAGAGGTGTGTGAACAAATTCGGCACGCTACCATTCAATTCCGCACTCTAAACAGTCCGCGATTTCCGGTCGAAGAAACGAAGAAATCGAATCGTGTCGTAGACGAATGAATCGAATCGATCTTCCGATGCATTATTACTTTTGGCCTTTCTTTTCCGGAACATCTCTTTTTTCGTTTCTTTCGTTTTTTCTTCTTTTTGTGAACCGCCTCTCTGTCTCCGTCGATTTGACTTCCCTTTAGGGGGAGGGGGGGAGGGGGATCCGCGTTTTCGTTCACCGATGTGATTTCGAGTCAAACGAGTCCAAAAGAAAGGTTAGGTTTCTCTCCGGTCAGCGTCTCGTTTCATCGCGTCTGGTCTCATCGAAAGATAACCCCATCGAAAGTACGGACGATCCATAAGTTTTGTCAAAGATGCGGAGAGGTTCGGGGGGAAGGTAAAAGGGGACGATCCGGCCGAGGATAGTTCGGATTGTGATGGGGCGTCACGAAAGGGGGTGCGTCTCTTTTTTGTCTCTTTTAGGAGGGCAAGGGGCTGGCTCGAGTCTCTAAAAGTTCGCTCCACGATCAAACCTACGGACTTTCTTCATATTCTTCCTCTCCCTCGTCATCCTCATCTTCGTATTGTTTCGTTTTATTTCTCTTTTTTTTTTTGTTTTGTCCATCCACCTTCTTTATTCCTATTCGTCTTCTTCTTATTCTTCTTCATCCTAAGTATTGCGAGAACGTAACGGTATATTGCAAGTAAAAGTTCAAAACGACGCAAGAGTTTTACGCGTTCAGATTATATTACCCGGAAATAAAAAAATATTTCGCTTATAACGATCACAGGACCTCAGATTACCTGAAGCACGCCACTCTAAGTCTCACTCTCGTCTCGCATTCGCTCTTCCTTGATGCTCACGAAGCATTCACATTCATTCAGTCTTGCCCATTCGCTCGACGGCGCGCCCGCGCACCTACGCCGATCCCAAGGTCGTGCATTCGCAAAATCGTCCACGTATTCGTTTCGTTCTCTCCCTCTCTCACGCACTTTCTCCCGTTCTCTCGGTGTCTCTTTCTCTCCCTCGCTTTCTCACACACACGTTCCTCGTTTGGTTCGTTCCGCTCAGGCGTTGACCCCATTCTCTCGTCGACTATGCTTGGGATCGGGTAAAACTTACGAGGGCGCGCTCCGCATTCGCTCGTATTTCCCTTTCGCCTAACTATCCTAGTCTCATAGACCCTATATTCATTATTTATAATATTTATATATAATATATATATATAATATATTTAGCATTTAGTTTTCTTATTTCTCTCTTCATCTTCGTCGCGTGCTTGCTCACGAAAAATGCTAGCTCTCTCACGCTTACCACATTTTCTCTCTCTTCAGTTGTAAACGTGTAAGTGTGAATAGGTTTCGCCCGTTCTTTTTTTTGTCTCTGTCATACTCTTCATACTCTGTATGTATATATAATATATATAATATAACTGTTTGTAATAACTATTTTTTGTTTGTTCGCTTATGAGCTAATAGTTTTCGTGCTACCGACGAGCACAAGTTGCGCGCTTTTTATCTTCACTTTAAAGTGTGCTGCTGATGAGTCCTTGCAATATGTGTGTATTTTATTGTACATGTATGTGTTTACTCTCTTCGTGTACGTATGTATACTCGGTTGTGATTGCGTGTACGTATGTTTACGCGTATGTGTGTGTGTGTGTGTGTATACGTGTGTATGTGTGTATGTGTGTGTGTGTGTATACATGTGTGCGTACGTATCTGTTCCGACGTCACACGTCCGGCGTTCGTTTCTCGCGAAATCAGTCAACGTCGCCTTTGTCATCGCGCGAAAACGTTGATCGCAGGTGAGAACACGTCCGTACGTTGCGTCCGTCTGTCTCACATACACACACACACACACACACACACACACCGGGGAAGGGGATTTCAGTACGTATATAATTAACAACCGTACACGCGGCGACACGATTCACACCACATCACCGTCCTCACCGGTGTGTGGCTCGTTCGCCGCGACCGCGCGACGCACCACGTGTGAGCCTGCGTGACGTGGCTGCGCGTTGATGTGCGATACGCTTCCAAGCATTTACAGAAGTCTCAAGGTTAGGGCTCTTCTCGGGGGATGAGGAGGGCGGGGGGTTGGGGGAGTGGAACCTTAAGTTGCGGTCCGGTAAGATAGAGATGTATCTATGTATGTATATATTTATATATAGTTTAGATTTTTTAAGCCCGCGGCAAACGGGACGGTCGAGGATCGCCCGTTGGACCCTCGGCCACCGTCGCGTCGCCGCGTCATGGGCTCTTGTACTATCATAGTACCTTGGCGCACCCCGGGGGAGGCGACCTCCCCCGAAGGGGACTCGACACCCCCCCCAGGATGACTTAGTGGGTTCTTTTTAGCAGCTTCTCGTTAGTATTATGGCACGTTTCGGGAGTCGAGGCGGCGGGCACGACAGTGGCGACGTGTCCTGAGAATCCTCTGACGAAACACTCCGGTAAGAGGCACTCGCGTTGAAAGGAGTCTTTCGTCTCCTCTCGGCGCGGTCAACGCCGCTCTCGCTCTTTCTCTCTCTCTCTCTCTCTCTCTCTTGACTCGTCGCTCTCGGCGACCGCGGACAGAGCCGGGAAACGCTCTTCCACCGCGACTATGCCTCTTCCTCTCGCGTCTGCGCGTCGTCTGATGCGAGAGCGTCGTCGACTACACGCCGCGACCGCCACCACGAGGGAAGGTGGTTCGTTCGGCAGATCCTTGATTCAGGACCGGTGTAGTAGGAACAAGTACGCGGAGTCTCGGATGAGACTCGTCGCCAGAGAGACGAGCGCCGCCACTGCGCGAGATCCTACCGCCTCGCGCCGTGCAACGGTTTTGCTATACACGTGCGTATTCTCACTCCCCCTTCGTCGGAGCGCCAGGACGCGGCCGGGGGGGCGGAGGGAGGAGGGTGGAGATCGACCGACCGCGAGAGCCGGGGTTTCTCTCACTCTCTGCCGCTCGCTCTCCCGGATCCTGCCGGTCCGGCGACATGTCGGTTCTGTCCGCGCGGGAAGACACCGAAGTACCACACTCTCCTACTCTCGAAGTCTGTCCGTTTAGTCTCGTCGACTGTGTGTTTCTTGTTTTCGTTTTCTTACTGCTGAGACGATGAGCGAAATTCTGGTGACCGCACTTGGGCGCTCGGGCGAGTCACGGGCTGGCGACGACGACGACGACGATGACGCGACGAGTCGCGTCTCGTCGTCGATCGGCCGTGTGCGCGTGATCGCTCTTACGCGTTTTCGGAATTACCGATCATCTCGTCGGCTTTCCTCTTGACGCCACGGTCCTCAGGCTGCTGCGGCTGTTGCTGCGGCTGCTGGTGACCGATGGAAGACGGGCCCTGCTGTTGCTGCGGCTGTTGCTGGTCGTGCAACGGGGGCGAGCGCTCCGTCGACGATTGCGACGACTGCTGGTTCATGCGCTCGCTCGGCAGACTCGTCTGATCCGGCGCCCAAGGGGTCCACTCGTCTCAGTAGTAACTGAACTTTCATGGTTGCTGATTACTCTGCTGGTTGACGACGTGCTGGAGAGTGAAGCTCAGGGCGCGCGGGTCACCGTGCAGCCTCAGGGCCTGCTCTAATCGCTGCTCCTGCAGCCGTAGCGCTTCTCCTGAAAGGTGTCGAGAGCGTGGACGCCCGTTTAGAAACGTTCTTCCGCCTGCGAGCTCACGAAGCTCACGAAGCTGCTCGAGAGCTTCTCATCGTTTCATCGCGCGGTCATTCGCTCACCGGCGAAATTTCAGGCGCGACGCGCCCCGTTGTGTCCACGTGTACTCACCGAGATCCGGCGATAGGGTGTCCTGTTGGGACATTTGTTGATTCGTATGGTGCCCCGGCATGCCGGAGGTGCTACCTCCGTTGTGCTGTCCCAAATGATGCCTCACGTCGCCGCCCACCGCGGAACTCGCCGCGGCTGCCGCCGCTTGAGACACCTGCGCGCAGAGATACGAAAAAAAGGGCTTGAGAGAGAGAGAGAGAGAGAGAGAGAAAGAGAAAGAGAGAGAAAGAGAGAGAGAGAAAGAGATAGATAGATAGACAGATAGGCAGGGAAAGGGCTGAAGATTATGCACCCTTTTACCCCCTTTGTTTCTTCGTGAGACAATGATACGCGATGCTCTCGCAGCGCGCGTCCCCCCTTTCCTTATAAAAACATTTTCGAATACATCGTGTAGTGTTTTATAAGCGCGCGACGGACAAGCGTCACAGCACACGCGGTGTTTGGTTGCTTCCTTACCGCGAGTCTAAGGGCGGCTTCGGCCTGGGAACGGAGCAGAGCCTCCGCCTGGTGCATCCTCAGAGCCTGCTCCGGTCCGCTCGCTTGCACTCCCTGCTGTTGGGGTCCCGTCGAGCCTTGAGTACCGCCGCTCATGTCACCGTTATTGCCCATCCTCATGGCCGCCGCGAGCGACGCCATGTCGACCGGCGAAAGATTAGGTGACACAGAATTTTGTAGTCCTAACAGAAACATCGCTTTTGACATCTCGCCTGGCGAAGACGGCGGAAGGGCGAAAGACTTGGGCGACACGGAATTTTCTAGTCCCAACAAGAACATCGTTCTCTTGACATTTCGCCTCGCGAACATGGAAGGGGGAGGGGGATGGGAGAGGGGGGGGGTGAATCGCGCGAAGGCGAGGGAGGGATTGTCCGGTTGGAGAAATGGCATGTTCTTAAGAAATAGCGGACAGTGCGGAGAACAACTTCTGAGGAATCCTCATCGTCATTTGTACCTCGATCTCATGATGATTTTAAGGCGCAGGTCCGTTCGGAATATTACGGAATCCCGGAACGTCGCGATCGCGCGCGATGATTCCGCGGAGCGCACGTCGGGAGGAAACGCGCACCGTGTTAACTTCGATCGCGTGCGAGGAATTCCGATATTTGTTTTTCCTGCTGGCGTTTCTTCGTCGAGATTCTCGGGCGAGTTACGAGCCGCGGAAAGAAGCTACACGAGCGCGGTCGTTCGCTCGTGCGCGATAAATCGCGCCTCTCGAGCTGACTCGAGATAACGTCCCGAGCGGGATATCGATAATTTTCCGTCGCGTTTCTAACGCGCGGGGATGTTGTCATTTCCCTTGGCGACGAGAGTGCTGCGGAGAGTGCTGTGTTTCCGCGCGTCAATCATTAGCGCGAGTTCCCGCGGCGTAGTAGGAGCGGAGAAAGGCAGGCAGGCAGGCAGGCAGGCAGGCAGGCAGGCTCGCGAATGCAACATCGTCGACGGAGCAACAACATTGTAAATCAAGTTTTATCGGTAATAATTAGAACGGAGCTATCGGCTTTCCCCTCTCGTGCAATTTAGCGTTGATACGCGTTAAACGCTGGTCCTTGGAGCGGCGCGCGACCGAACGACCGACCGATCCGGCCAACTCGCGATCGATCGATTCGCTAGATCGGGCGCGACGAGTCCGTACAGTTTATTAATAATTAGCCCGTTCCGCTTTCGCGTCTACTATCTATTCGTCTATTCTCTTACCTGCCGACACGGCCGCGGCCATGACAGCCATGCGCTGCTGCTGCGACTGCATCTCGTCGTGGTACTGCTGCGCCGAGCCCGGTTGACTTCCCGCCCGCAGCATCTCGCTCAGCTTGTTGCCGCTCGGTCCCGGCGACGCCATGTTGTTGTTGTTGTTGTTGTTGTTGTTGTTCAGTAGACCGGTGCCTGCGCAAAAATCTGCTCTCGTCAGTATGTACAAGCTGGTGGGCGGGTGGGTTATTTTGCGCACGTTTTACTCTTTTCATTGTTTCTCTTTCCGTTCTCTTTTTCTTTTCTCTCTCTCGCTCTCTCTCTCTCTCTCTCTCTCTCTCTCTCTCGCTCTCTCTCTTTCGCTCTCTCTCTCTCTCTTTCTCTCTCTCTCTCTCTCTCTCTCTCTCTCTCTCTCTCTCTCTCTCTCTTTCTCTCCGTCTTTCTTTCTCTCTCTCTCTCTCTCTCTCTCTCTCTCTCTTTTAATCACTAACTTAACTGTGTATATATACATATATGTAGCGTATCGTTCCGCGGCATCGGCGTACGTGAAAACGCTAAAATGCTTAAAAAGAAGGGCGCCGCCCCCGAAGTGGAGGCCGCCCGTTATCGTGAGTAGAGAGACCGCGTGCGAGCGCCGTTCACATGAGAGAATTACTCAGACCAGAAATTCGTATATGTTTTATTTGACTCAAACATTATATATATATATATATATATTATATATATTATTCATATTATGTAACTTACGTGTACTACAATAAGTTCACTAATGGTACTTCACAACAGAGTTTCATCATTAAAACGAAACCAGAGAAAAAAAGGTGAATAACGGCGAGGCTTATAAACAACTGGTGCTCGTGACTTGCGATATTATATATACACGTATATCTAAATATTTCGTTTGTAGACGTTCGTTTGTAAGTAGTAGACGTAGAACAAGATCGGAGCGTACCAGGTTCACTACCGGCCGACGAGAGTCTTCCGTTGCCGCTGCTGCTGTCCGAATGGGCAGACGGTGACGGGCACATAGGCGGTTGTTGCAAATTTTGCGGTCCTCCGGACTGACTTCCCAACACTCCCAAACCCGCTCCTGTACAGCGCAAGGGTTGTCACGTTAGGGCGCGTTTCGACGTAGGGGTACGAGTGGGGGGTCGTCGTTAACAGTGGCTGCGTTCAGCGAGCAGAGCAGTTGCGCGACGCAACTGCTCTGGTATATAATTCGTCCGAATAATTGGTCCAAATTTAGGGACCCAATGCCGACCAATGAAGACCAACAATCGCTGATCACTTTGTCCCGAACGCTGAACGCAACCAGTGTGTCGCGCGTGCATCTCGCCGGCGCGAAATCCGCGCTTTCGCGACGACCACGTCGCTCGATGAATTAACGTTTAACAAGTAGTACAGACAAATAGTGGTAATAGTAGTAATAGTAGTAGTAGTAACATGTGTATATATTATATGTATTATATGTAGTATATATAGACTGCCGTCTCTCTCCCCCTCTCTCTCTCTCCCTCCCTCTGTCTTTATACCTAAACTCGAACTCGCGAGGATCTCCCTTTCCCGCCTCTCGGCGGCCGCGCGACTCAGCACGTACTGCGCCGCGAACTGATGCTTCGGGTCCATCCTCATGTGCTCCATGTGGCTCAGGAGACCTTAACACCAGAAAGAAAGAAACATGCGTGGTCACAGTACAGAAAGGTCTCTCTCGTATCCCGCCGTGTTACGACGTGCACGTAAAACAACGTTACACACTAAACGAGACGGTCGCGGTCACTCCGTACAACGCGGTTATATATGCTCCGTAGAACGGGAAAACGAAAAGGCACGACGTGGACGCGTCCGCGAGAAAGAACAGAAGCGCGAGCCGAGCGTGAGACTCCCGAAACTGAGGGCCCCGGTGTCTTACGTGGCAAACAAATACTTACCGCTCTCGTGAGTGAAGACGGCTTGGCACACCGAGCACGGCCACATCCTGAGGCTCGTGCTAAGTTGACTGGTCTCAGGATGGCAGGCCAGATGCTTCCTAAGGCTACCCTCGTTGACGTAGTGCTTCCCGCACACTGGGCACGGATGGTTGGCGGTCCGTCGCTTCGCTAGGTAAACCCCGGCAACGGAGGTTGTGCAGTCAGCGGAGGGAACAATAGGGCGACACAATTTCAAGGTCAATGCCAAGCAGGATAAAGCGTCCCAAGGAACGAAAGCCGCCTCCTCACCCATCTCTCCTCCACCGTCATGTGTTTCCTTGCATATCTCTCTCTCTCTCTCTCTCCCCCCCCTCTCTCTCTCTCTCTCTCTCTCTCTTTCATTCTCTCTCTTTCGCGCACACACACACTCTCTCTCTCTCTCTCTCTCTCTCTCTCTCTCTCTCTCTCTCTCTCTCTCTCTCTCTCTCTCTCTCTCTCTCTCTCTCTTTCTGTTTTCCTCCCCCACCTTAATTCTCACGCACTCGCGTGCACACGCGCGCGTACGTACGTACGTACGTACGTACAGATTCCGGTCGACCTCGAAGGCGAAGGGAGACCTTACGGACGCGGATAGCCAAGGACCAGGAGAGCACTGACCTCGGGCACGCAGAGTGCCGGCCGGCGCCGCCGCCACCGCGTTGCTGGCTCCCTTTCACGAGCAAGGCCGCCGGCCGAAAAACCAGGATGCATACGCACGGTACTGGTGTCGCGCGCTTTGCACGCACGCACGCACGTACGCACGCACGCGGACGCACAGAGAAGAGAGAAGGACGGAGGAGATTTCGTGCGCCTTCCCCTCGAGAGGAGAAAATCTCTCTCCTTCACGTCGCTCCCCGGATCCATGGCCCGATCTCGTGGTCGCGTCGTCGAACCAAGAACGCGAAAGGCAATTATTCGACGTTGCGACGTAGCGAGTCCGTCCGAGAGGACGGACACACACGTCCAGGAGATCGCGCGTCGCGTGGATCCATCTTCGCGTGGATTTTTCGCCCGATTTCTCCAAGCGTCGCGCGCTATAAGTCATACGATGAAACAAACGCCGGCCGGCCCGTCCCGCGGCGCATTCCCCGAATGCGGCGCAATCATTAGCGCGCCCGGTACTATTTCGACGGCGAGAGAGCCGCGCCATCGGCAGCATCGTGTGTTGCGCCGTCGGGCGCAACCGGTGGGCGATACGCCGCCGATCGTCGGTCGTACGTCGCGCTCGATGGAGAACGTGAACTCGAATCGAAAACGGCGGCGGTAGAGACCAGCCAGCAAGCCAGCCAGCCAGCCAGCCAGCCAGCGCAGGTAGATCCTGCGCGCGTCTGGAACTCTCTCGTTCTCTGTACGTCCGCGCGTTTGCACACACCACATATCACGCATCACGCATCACGCATATGTATTACAAGAGCCACGCATAGAGGTCGGAACGAGACACCCTCGAAGCACCGTGTATACGTATTAGCGAGTAGAGTACCCAAGTATTAGTCTCGGCGAGTGTGCCAAATGCTACACGCCTATCCCGCCCAGGCGAAAACGGTATGAAGAAGTGAACAGGACAATGTGTGCGTGTCACCCGCGCCAAAGCAAGTTCTTGGGATGGATATGAGACGTACTTAAAAGCTAAAGAACGTAACGAACCACCCCTCGTGTCTCGACGAGCGGTTGCTCCACACCTCTCTCCCTCTCTCTCTCTCTCTCTCTCTCTCTCTCCCTCTCTCTCTCTCCCTCTCTCTCTCTCCCTCTCTCACTCTCTCTCTCTCTCTCTCTCTCTCTCTCTTTCTCTCGTTCTCTCCCTCTCCCCTCTCACTCTTTCTCTCTCTCGTTCTCTCTCGCTCTCTCTCTCTCGCTCTCTCTCTCTCTCTCTCTCTCTCTCTCTCTCTCACTCTCTCAGCCTTACTCACGATCAACGTCGTCCCTCTCGCGTCCGTGTCTATCTTCCTCTGTCTCTCCTCATTCTTTCTTTTTTTTTCTCTGTTTCTCTCTCTCTCTCTCTCTCTCTCTCTCTCTCTCTCTCTCTCCTCCTAGGACATCTCTCCTCATGAGAGAGGTTTTTCTCTAGTTAAGAGTCTTGGTTATATGCGGTTAGGAGTAAGGAGAACAGAGAAATTCGGCACACGGAGAGTGTCAACGTGCACGCGAGAAAGGTTCGGTGTTAAGTTCGCTGATTAGTCGTAAGAGACGAGAGACACGGTCAAGGTTTCGTTCTCAAGCCCCGCGCTTCATGCAACGGTGCACTCCGCCCGCGAGATCCGGCCAGATTCCGGTTAATCGATCGGTTACGGTTAAGGAAGATTAGTAGTTGCGCGCGAGCGCGAGCGAGCGAGCGGAGCGGAGCGGAGCGGAGCGGAGCGGAGAGAAGCGGAGATGCGATGTGACGAGAGAGAGGCTGTGTTACACGCCGAGGTAGAGAGACACGGACGGCCGGTCGAGGGCGGCCGGCTTGCGCGATTTTTCAATACTTACTGGCAACTCCGGAGGCGTTCGGGTCCTTGTGGGTGTGCTTCATGTGCTCCATCAGCGCCTCGCCGCCGAGGAAGAGCTTGTGGCATACTGGACAGCTGGTTGCGTTCGGGCCGCCGATCAGGGCGGCGTGTTGCTGGAACACAACACGCTGTTGCAACTCCTTTTTTGGGGGGCCGGAAGAAGAAGTACCGGAAGCAGGCACACGCGGCGCACCGGTAGAGAGCCGACCCACCAGAGAATACCACCACAGAGTTGCGAACCAGAAGCGCAGGACAGGCAGGGCACAGAACAGAACGATTTACCAGTGAGAGTTAAGGCACCAATATACCGCCGCCACCACAGACTATTTCCTTTTGCACAGGGAATTCATGTCGAGTGTCTGGTAGGAACTTTGTGGTATTGCCGCGTTGGCTGGGTTTCCAGTCGGTCAAGTGCGGAGTGTGCGCGATCGAAAAGAATCGACGGACGAGAGGTTTGCCTCCTTCGCGCGTGGTGCGTCTCGCCCCTTTTACCAGTAATTCGCCTTCTGCCTGCGATTACGTCTTCACCGAACGAAACAAACTCTACTCGAATCGTGCGCGCGAGTCAGTAGCGAGTCTTTCGCTTCTCGTTTCTCCGTCCGCGCGATTGTGTGTACTACTTGTCCCATTCGGAATCGGGGTACATCTTACTGTACTTTACTGTGGCCGAATTAATTTCTACGTACGCTTTCGAGAGACTTTGACAACTGAAAAGTCGCATTGTTCGTCACAATGAATCGTTGGTGAAGATACTCGGAAAGATCATAGGCTAGCTCTTGGAAAGTTACAAGGTTGGGGAATGAAAGAGGCGGAGACTTCGATATTATTGAAATTACCACGGTAATTTTCAAAATTATCGTTGCGCTCAAGGGAATACTGTGCTCATGCTTACGCTTACTGCGGCTTCGCGCGTTTACACGCTTGGCGCGACTCTGAATTCGCCGAGAAATTTCGTCATTTTTACGGGCTCGCCGTAAAAGCACCGAGGCGAGCCGGCGCGAAAGTAAGGTTAGCTAGAGTTTAGCAGAAGGACTCTCGACCGATCGAAAACTTTATCTTCGTCGCCAGAACAGAGTACTCGGTTCGGGTGCAGGACGGCCTGGGCGGTGGTAGTCGCAGAGGAGGAAGGGGGGAGCAGTTTGGAGTTCGAAGCGAAGCCTAGACAGACAAATATGTGGAAGCGTGAGGTCCGGGGAACGATCGGAGCGGATTAATCCCTAACCGCGATTAGGGATTTCGTCGGCTAATGCTGCCGGTATCGGCCTCGTCTCGCACGCGTGTGTGTATATACATACGTATATGCGCGTGTATGTGTGGACACACACACACACACACACGTGCGCTAAAGGCTGATGATACCAGACGTCGCGTCGCGAAAACAAAGCGACCACTTTCGTCGACCTTGGACCTCCGATCGACCCCGCGCGACCTCACCCATGAACGGGAATGCAAAGCATGGAATGACTAGCTTGTACCATACATCAATTTTAACTACCATGGCCGTTGCTAGCACATCTTCGGCATCTGCATTCCTTCTTCTCCTCGCCTTATCTACACTTCGCGCTTATTAACGAGTCGTGAGCGAGATTCACGTCTCGGGCGCTCTCTCTCTCTCTCTCTCTCTCTCTCTCTCTCTCTCTCTCTCTCTCTCGCTCGTCATCCTTTACAACGAGCCGCGATCGTTGTCCTACCAACGGCCATGTTTCGCATTAGATTAGACAACGAAATCATGAATGAAATTCGACGTCCTCTCGAGTGCCAGAGTCAGAGTGACGATTCTTTTTATTGCCCCTCCTTATTCTCTCGCGC